GGTGGATCACCTGAGGTCAGAAGTTCGAGGCCAGCCTGACAAATATGGAGAAACCCTGTCTAGACTAAAAATACAAAAGTAGACCAGGCATGGTGGCTCACGCCCGTAATCCGAGCAATTTGGGAGGCCAAGGTGGGCGGATTGCCTGAGATCAGGAGTTCGAGACCAGCCTGGTCAACATGGTGAAACCCTGTCTCTATTAAAAAGAGAAAAAATTAGCTGGGTGTGGTGGCGGGCACCAGTAATCCCAGCTACTCTGGAGGCTGAGGCAGGAGGATCACTTGAACCCGGGAGGTGGAGTTTGCAGTGAGCCGAGATCATGCCAGTGTACTCCAGCCTGGGCAACAAGAGTAAAACTCTGTGTCAAAATAAAATAAAATAAAATACAAATACAAAATTAGCCAGGCATGGTGATGCAAGCCTGTAGTCCCAGCTACTCGGGAGGCTGAGGCAGGAGAACCACTTGAACCTGGGAGGTGAATGTTGCAGTGAGATGGGGCCACTGCAACAAGAATGAAACTCTGTCTCAAAAAAAAAAAAAAAAAAAAAACGGAAAACGGAAGAGGCCAGGCATGGCCCCCAGAAGGTATCGTGTGAAGGTCCAAAAAAAAAACCCAAGTTCAGCCCTCTCATGTGCAGCCAGGCACACGCTGGACCACAGCCACCACTGTGTATTCTGGAACCTTCTCTGGGACTCTGAAAGGCAGAAGTGAAGGCCTCCTCCCAGAATCCCATTTCTTTTTTTCTTTTTTTTTGAGACGGAGTTTCGCTCGTTACCCAGGCTGAAGCGCAATGGCGCGATCTCGGCTCACCGCAACCTCCGCCTCCTGGGTTCAGGCAATTCTCCTGCCTCAGCCTCCTGAGTAGCTGGGATTACAGGCACGCGCCACCATGCCCAGCTAATTTTTTGTAGTTTTAGTAGAGAAGGGGTTTCACCCTGTTGACCAGGATGGTCTCGATCTCTTGACCTTGTGATCCACCCGCCTCGGCCTCCCAAAGTGCTGGGATTACAGGCGTGAGCCACCGCGCCTGGCCTCTTTTTTTTTCTTTTGGAGACAGAGTCTTGCTCTGTCACCCAGGCTGGAGTACAGTGGCACCATCTCGGCTCACTGCAACCTCCGCCTCCCAGGTTCAAGCGATTCTCCTGCCTCAGCCTCCCGAGTAGCTGGGATTACAGGTGCCCACCACCATGCCTGGCTAATTTTTTATTTTTAGTAGAGACGGGGTGGGTTTTGTCATGTTGGCCAGGCTGGTCTTGAACTCCTGACCTCATGATCCACCTGCCTTGGCCTCCCAAAGTGCGGGGATGACAGGTGTGAGCCACTGCACGTGGCCCCAGAATCCCATTTCTGAAGTCAGATTTGCCTTTTCTGCCTAAACCACTTGACCCTCTCATGCCAGGAAAACAGGAGCAGAGCTCGTCAGATGGGGAATGCCTAAAACTCCCCACCTTCCAACCCCAAGCTCTCAGTCAGCCGTGCGGGGAATTTTTCTGAAACATTCACTATGAGGTCCCTAAGGCAGAAGAGAGCCTCCTTGGAAGAGTATATATATATTTTTTGAGTCATAGTCTTGCTCTGTGGCCAGACTGGAGTGCAGTGGTGCAATCTCGATTCACTGCAGCCTCGACCTCCTGGGCTCAAGCAATCCTCCGGCCGCAGCCTCCCAAAGCACTAGGATTACAGGTGTGTGCCACTGTATCTGGCACGCTCTTGCACTTCTTTTCTTTCTTTTCTTTTTTTTTTTTTTTTGAGATGAAGTCTTGCTCTGTCACCAAGGCTGGAGTACAGTGGCGCGATCTCGGCTCACTGCAATCTCCACCTCCTGGGTTTAAGCGATTCTCCTGCCTCAGCCTCCCGAGGAGCTGGGACTACAGGCACATGCCACCAAGCCCACCTCCGTTTTTTGTATTTTTACTAGAGACAGAGTTTCACAATGTTGGCAGGATGGTCTCGATCTCCTGACCTCGTGATATGCCCGCCTCAGCCTCCCAAAGCACTGGGATTACAGGCATGAGCCACCGTGCCTAGCCTAATAGTAGAGATGAAGTTTCGCCATGTTGGCCAGGCTGGTCTCAACCTCCCTTTTTTTTTTTTTTTTTTTTTTTTTAACAAGACACGGTCTTGCTATGTTGCCCAGGCTGGAGTACAGTGGCTATTCACAGGTGCAATCCCACTACTGATTAGCAGGGGAGTTTTGACCTGCTCCGTTTCGGACCTGGGCTAGGTCATCCCTCCTTAGGCAACCTGGTGGTCCCCCACTCCCGGGAGGTCACCATATTGATGCCAAACTTAGTTTGGACACCCGATAGGCATAGTGCACTACAGCCCAGAACTCTTGGCTCAAGCGATCCTCACACCTCAGCCTCCCGAGTAGCTGGGACTACAGACACGCACCACCGCACCCGGCTTGAACTCCCAACCTCAAGCGATCTGCCCACCTCGGCCTCCCAAAGTGCTAGGATAACATGCGCGAACCACCGCGCCCAGCCTCCCTCTCGCACTCCTGAAAACAGCCGGCAAACCTGCCAACCAACCAGACATCCAGCTTCCCCTACGCGAAAGCAAGACCAGGCCTGGAAAGGAACTGAATCCAGGAGAACAGAAAAGAAAGGTGGGTTTTTTTCTCATGAGTCAAAACCCAGATCATCCCACACATGCAGGGAAGTGGATGACTCGCTCCTCAAGACACCACTGTGGGCTCTGGAGGCTGCAGCCTTCAGCAGCCCCTCGGATCTGCGTCCCAGCTCCTCTTCTGTAAAAGGGGGCTACTCGAAGCCCCTGTGACTTCATGAGGCACAGGAAGGAAGGGGGTCGTGATCGCAGCCTCGAGGCCGCCCAGGGCACTCCCTCCTGACTGTGCAACTCCCAAAGCAGAAAGCACAGATGGGATGTGAAACACGCAAAACCCACATTTCAACGTTTACCGAACCATCTGCTTTGGATACGGGCAGTTTATTGCATGTCAATTAAACCCGCATAAACTGTTAAGGAGAAAACGAAGAAAAAAGCAAGTGCAAAAAAGCAGTGTGGGCTGTGCGCGGTGGCTCACGCCTGCAATCCCAGCGCTCTGGTAGGCCGAGGTGGGTGGATCACCTGAGGTGCGGAGTTCGAGACCAGCCTGGCTAGCACGGTGAAACCCCGTCTCTACTAAAAATACAAAAATTAGTTGGGTGTGGTGTCGTGCGCCTGCAATCCCAGCTACTCGGGAGGCTGAGGCAGGAGCACCACTTGAACCTGGGAGGCAGAGTTTGCAGTGAGCAGAGATGGCACCCTGCACTCCAGCCTGGGTGACAAAGCGACACTCCAGACGCCATCTCAAAAACAAACATACAAAAAGCAGTGTGTACAAAGACTGGAAATCTCATCCCCAAGATAAGCCGTGGCTCTGGGGCCCTGATTTTCTGCAATGTGATTGCATTTTCCAATCTCCCCTATTTCCCCTCCCTTCTCAGTGACTCCTTATAAAATGCACCATTTCTTACACTTTCTTTCTTTTTTTTTTTTGGAGACCGAGTTTTGTTCCTGTCGCCCAGGCTGGCAGGCTGGAGTGCAGTGGCATGATCTCGGCTCACCACAATCTCCACCTCGAAGGTTCAAGCGATTCTCCTGCCTCAGCCTCCCAAGTAGCTGGGATTACAGGCAGGTGCCATCACGCCCAGCTAATTTTTCTATTTTTAGTAGAGACAGAGTTTACCATGTTGGCCAGGCTGGTCTCGAACCCCTGACCTCAGGTGATCCACCCACCTCGGCCTCACAAAGTGTTGGGATTACAGGCGTGAGCCCCCGAGCCCAGTCTGTCTCTTACACTTTCAATACCCTCTTTGCTGCAGAAGGGCCGCTTCGGCCGGGCGCGGTGGCTCACGCCTGTAATCCTAGCACTTTGGGAGGCCGAGGTGGGTGGATCACCTGAGGTCAGGGGTTTGAGACCAGCCTGGCCATCATAGGGAAACCCCATCTTTAAAAAAAAAAAAAAAAAAAAAGGGCTGCTTTGAAAAAGCCCGACCACCCTGGGCCCTGGGGGTCCTGAAGCCCTGCGAAAATTTTTTTTTTTTTTTTTTTTTTTGAGACGGAGTTTCACTCTTGTTACCCAGGCTGGAGTGCAATGGCTCGATCTCGGCTCACCGCAACCTCAGCCTCCTGGGTTCAGGCAATTCTCCTGCCTCAGCCTCCTGAGTAGCTGGGATTACAGGCACGCGCCACCATACCCAGCTAATTTTTTGTAGTTTTAGTAGAGACGGGGTTTCACCATGTTGACCAGGACGGTCTCGATCTCTTGACCTCGGGATCCACCCGCCTCGGCCTCCCACAGTGCTGGGATTACAGGCTTGAGCCACCGCGCCCGGCGTCCCTGCGAAATTTTAATCCACACGGGGAGGCAAGAGGTCCTGGGGGAGGACAGTGGATCGGGACCAGGAGTTGACCCCGCAGCTGGACCCCGCCCCTTGTATCCCCCTTCCGGGGAGGCGGGGGATCGGTCTCCCCGCCGCCCGCGTTCGCCCCTCCCGAGGGATCAGCCTCCCTCCCCGCCTGCGTTCAGCCTTCCTGAAGGATCCTGCTTTCTCGCCGCCTAAGTTCGCCCTTCCTCCCCGACACCCCCGGCTCCTGGGGCCCAGGCTGGCGTGAAGTAGCGCGATCTCACCGCAACCTCCGCCTCCCGGGTTCAGGCGATTCTCCTGTCTCAGCCTCGCGAGTAGCTGGGATTACAGGCGCCTGCCACCGCGCCCGGCTTATTTTGTATTTTTAGTAGAGACGGGGTTTCGCCATGTTGGCTGGTCTCGAACCCCTGACCTCAGGCGATCTGCCCGCCTCGGCCTCCCAAAGTGCTGGGATGACAGGCGTGAGGCACCGCGCCCAGCCTCGCCCTTCCTGAAGGCTCGGCCTCCCCGCCGCCTAAGTCCGCCTTTCCTGAGGGATCCGGCTTCCCGCCGCCTAATTTCGCCCCTCCCGGCACCCACCTGGCCTCCCTTGCCGCCCGCCTTCGCCCCACCCGGCACCCACCTGACCGCCTCACAGCCGCCGCGGAGGGACACTGTCGCGGAGGACGCCTCACACGCGCGCCCGGCCGCACCCGCGGGTCGGGCCTACTTTCCTTAAAGGGCCCGGGGCTCTGCGCAGCAGCGACGTGCAGGAGTCTCCTGGAGACTCTGTCCCGCGGGCTCTAGGACCCCCAAGCGGCGAAGGCGCGCGGAGCCACGTTCCGGCCAGCAGCCCTGGGACGCCCGGAGAACCGGCCAGACCGCGCGAGGCCGGGCGGAGCTCTCCGTTGCCTGGCAACCGGGGCTGCGGCCTGTGGGCGGAGCTTGCACCATGGTTAGGAAACGGGGCGGGGCCTCAGTGGGAGCCGGCCGAGGAGCCCGCACTGGCCACTGGCGCATGCGTGGGACGCGGCATGGCGGTGGGCCCAACAAGGAGTGGAGTTTCTCTGAGGGGCCGCTCTTGAGCGGGGCTGGACCCAGGAGGGGGCGGGGCCTGTGCTGGTTGGGTGAGCAGGGGAGGAGGCGCGGCCTGGTGCGTGGTGGGCGCCGTTGGTTGGTGCGAGGCGAAGGGGCGTGGCACAGGGGGCGCCGTTGGTTGGTGTGCGGCGGAGGGGCGTGGCACAGGAAGCGCCGTTGGTTGGTGCGTGGCTGAGGGGAGTGGCGCGAGCAGCGCCGTTGGTTGGCTGGCGGCGGGCGGGACGGGCATGGCCCTGTTGCTGTGCCTGGTGGGCATGACGGCGGCGCTGGCCCACGGCTGCCTGCACTGCCAGAGCAACTTCTCCGAGAAGTTCTCCTTCTACCGCCACCATGTGAACCTCAAGTCTTGGTGGGTGGGCGACATCCCCGTGTCAGGGGCGTTGCTCACCGACTGGAGCGACAACACTATGAAGGAGCTGCACCTGACCATCCCCGCCGAGATCAGTGAGCGCCGGAGCCCAGCCCAGTCCCGACCACCCCCCCAGCGAAAACCCCGGGCAGGCCGCTCACCTGGCTCCTCCTCCCGCCCGCAGCCTGGGAAAAGCTGGACCAAGTGGCGAGAGCCGTGTACCAGAGGATGGATCAGCTGTACCAGGGGAAGATGTACTTCCCAGGTAAGGCGGGGGAAACCGAGGTGGGGCCCGCCCGCCCCAGGACACCCCGCCCACCTTCTGAGCCTGACCTTTTGCCCCGGCTCCTCAGGATATTTCCCCAATGAGCTGCGAAACATCTTCCGGGAGCAGGTGCAACTCCTCCAGAACGCCATCATCGAAAGTGAGCAAATAAGGCTTCAGGGGAGGGAGGTTCTGCCCAGAGCCTCAGAGACCCACGGGGCTTGGCTTAGGCTGGAGTGACATGAGCAGGGCACTGGGCAGCTGGAGAGGAGGGCAGCTCCCCAGGGAGGGACCCAGCCCAACGCCTGAAGGATCAATGCTATCACCCCCCGGGGACCTCCCCTAAGTAGCTCCCAGAGGTGCTGGGAGTATTCCCACCGCCCTCCCCTGAGGTCTGCTCCATCCCACGCTGGGGATCACCTTGGGTACCTCTTATTTTCGGGCCATGGACACACATACGTGAAACCCAGGTGAGCCTGGGCCCCAGTGGACAGGCCCTGAGGCTTTGGCGGGCTGGGAGGAGGCACAGCGGGAACAAGGCTGGGCCTGGGAAGAGCACCGTCCTGCCCTCCCACAGGCCGCATCGACTGTCAGCGCCACTGTGGTAAGGGAGGCTCCATCCGGGCTGAGGGGAGCGCCGGCGGCAGCTCGGGGCCCCGGAGGCCGAGATGAGCCCAGGGCGGCTGCGGTGTGTTGCAGGCATCTTCCAGTACGAGACCATCTCCTGCAGCAACTGCACAGACTCGCACGTCATCTGCTTTGGCTATAACTGCGAGTAGGGGCTCAGGCATCGCACCCGCCTATGCCAGGGCCCTGCTGTCCCTGGGGTCCCAGGCTCTCCTTGGAGGGGGCTCCCCGCCCTCCACCCGGCCCTCGTCACTGGGATAGGGCAGGGTCTGGGGCTCAGGGGCACACCACCTCCAAACCCACGTCCCACAGGTCCTCGGAGCAGTGGAAGTCAGCGGTCCAGGGCCTCTTGAACTACATGTGAGTGGGGTCTTCAGGCGGCGGCAAGCTTGCCACCTGGGCTTGGGAGGAAACCCTGCCCGTGGCCACTCAGCCTCCTGAGTCCAAACCTGTTGTCCTTGTAGAAATAACTGGCACAAGTAAGTCCCCTCCTCCAACCCGACACAGGCTGTGTGTTTGTGTGAGCACCTTGTGGGTGAGTAGGTATGGGGCGCAGGTGGACCCCCTCAGCTTCTGTGTCCTAGAGGGGCCCGGAGGAGGCAGGACCTCACCCCAGCTCTGTGCAGGAGGCGACCGCAGCCCCTTTCTCCCTCGAGGGTCTCCGACCCTCAGCTGGAGGGCCTCATCTGGCTTAACAGGTCCCCATAGGGTCTGATCCCATCCCTGCCCCAGGTCTGTGTTCAAGCCTGGGAGGGTTCCCCATGATGGTTAGGGGTGCCCCATGGAGGAGTCTGACTGCCTCATCTTGCCTTTCAGACAGGACACGAGCATGAGGTAAGGCCGCCCTCGCCTGGCCTTCAGGGGGAGGGGGTAAAGGGAGAGAAGAGGGGGTGCCAGGGGTCCTCTAGGTCAGTGGAGCACCGCAGGTGGGGATCTCCTTATGCCTGGGACACCTGCTGGATGCCACCTCTGCAACCACATCCGTGTGGTGCTTTCATGAACAAACCACGCTCTTCCTCCTCCTCCTGGTCCGGGATGCACAGAGCCACCCCAGCCTTGTGAGTGACCCGGAGAAGGGAGGCCTTGGGAGAAGGGGTGCATCTAAGTCAACAGCAGCGTGCTGTGGCCCCCACACCCTTCTGAAGTCCCAGGCACACGGGTGTTGTGGACGTGGCCACACACAGGACCACACGTCCCAGCTGAGAGGAGACCTGGGGTGCCCCCAGCAAAGACCCCCAGGGAGGGAGGTGGGGAGTGGGGGGCAGGGAGAGCTGAGGCGGACTCATCTCCCCGCAGCCTGGTATCGCCAGCCTTCAGGTGTCTGGAGTCCCGACGCCTGGACAATCTGACCTTGGAAAATGCCGTCGAGTGTTTCAAGCAGCACTGACGGCGCTGGGCCTGCCCCCACACAACGTGGGGACTGGGACTCAGCCCCCTCCTGTCCTTCTGGAGCTGGGTGGCTGCTGCCCTAGGTCCCCCTCCACCCTGGACTCAGCCCGAGCTGGCCCGGGCCGGGAGGGTAGGGATGCGGGTGGGCTGCACTGGGCATCGGCACCTGGGCAGGTCCACGGAGCTCTGGAATGTGGTGATTAAAGTCCCTGATGTTTCTCCTTGCAGAAGAGTTCTTGCCAGGGCAGAGGAAGCCTCTGGGGGCTGGAGATGGGCTTCTGGGGAGGCCTAAATGTCCTCGACAGAGCACAGTGTTTCCTAGCCTTGGGTCCACGACCACGGGGGACCCACTCAGAGCCACACTCACAGGGCCTCAGGGAGCGTCCTCGGACTCCCACGTGTGGGGCCTTGGCCCCCCCGAGTGCACATGGGTAGACTCACACAAGCCCAGAGCACCTGGTTCTTCCGTGCAAAGCGAGGCCACAGTGTCGGGGAGACCAGGGCCACCCCTAGCGTGTCTAAGTGTTGCAGTCACTTATGTCAGACCTCAGCCAAGGAACGCAGGAACCGTGGGCTGTGTCTGTGTCGAATCATCTCTGTGGCAATGACAGGTGTGGCATCATGGCCAGAGGCGGGTCTCCTGATGCCCAGGAGGGAGGGGACTCATCCCATCTGTGTGGTGATGCAGTTCCCAGTTCCATTCTCACTCAGGTGACCTCAGCGGTCTCCTCGCTTTCTCGGGCGTCCCTCTGTTCCAGCACTGGGGCGGATGCAGGACACTGGTGAGAACATCGCTGGGCACACTGCTGCTGCCAACATGGTCCCATGCACCGTCTTGTGGCTGCCTCAGGCCCCCATCACAGGAGGGGTGCACGGAACACTTGCGGAGGTCAGGAATGGCTTGTGGGAAGGTGGCCAAGCACCCAGGCTCTGTGGGACACTGGAGCCACAGGCGTGGGGGAGAAAACTCAGTAGTGGCCACTGCGGGCAGCGTCAGGAGTGATGGTGCTGGGTCTCGGCTGTTAATGCCTCGGCCTGGCTGTGAAGGATACTTCCTCTGAGGTCGTTGAGTGTGTTTAGATAACAGGAAAGAGACTGATTTCTTTTTTTCGTTTTTTTGAGATAGATCTCGCTCTGTGGCCCCGGCTGGAGAGGTGGTGCAATCTGGGATCACTGCAACCCTCCGCCTCCTGGGTTCAGGCGATTCTCCTGCCTCAGCCTCCCAAGTAGCTGGGACTACAGATGTGCACCACCACGCCTGGCTAATTTTTGTATTTTCAGTAGAGATGGGGTTTCACCATGTTGGCCAGGATGGTCTCAATCTCCTGACATCGTGATTTGCCTGCCTTGGCCTCTCAAAGTGCTGGGATTACAGGTGTGAGCCACTGTGTCTGGTCTTTTTTATTTTTATTTTTGAGATGGAGTCTCTCTCAGTGGTGAGAGTGCAGTGGTGTGACCTGGGCTCACTGCAACCTCCGCATCCTGGGTTCAAGTGATTCTCCTGTCTCAGCCTGCATACTAGCTTGGACTACAGGTGCCCGCCACCATGCCCAGCTAATATTTGTAGTTTTAGTACAGACTGGGTTTCACCATGTTGGCCAGGATGGTCGCAATCTCTTCACCTCGTGGTCCACCCCCCTTGACCTCCCCAAAGTGCTGGGATGACAGGTGTGAGCCACCGTGCCAGGTTGGTCAGGCATGGTTTTCTAAAAGGGACGCTGGTGTGGGTGGGACTGGGATCCTGTCTGTGCTGCTCTGACCCCCTGCCATGAAAAAGCCCGCCACCATGCCTGCGTCTTGGGTTAGAGTTGACGGGGCTTCCCTCCACTGACCCAGCATCACCTTGTTCAAGGGTCGCGTCTTCAAGGTATAAGGCCAAAGTGGGTATAAAGGAGGTAAATTCACCCAGGGGCAGGGGTGGCCGCTCTTCCGAAGTTCTCAATTCTGGATCTGTCCCTGCCCCGAGGGGCTCCTGGGAAAGGGGAGAGAGAGTAGGCACCTGCTCCCCTGCACGGCATTGCGGGGAGATGCTGTGGCTCCTACTGCGGGGTCGGGGATTCCTGGGCCTGTGACTGCCTGAGCCCGAGACCTGGATGGTGCTGGGGACCAAGGCCACCTCCTAAGGGCCCAAGATCTGAGGCGCAGAGGCTCCGGCCCTGCAGCGCCGCATGACGCAGGCCAGGCAGAAGACCCCACGTGGAAATGCCTGTTTTACAACTTTATTGGATCATCTTGACACAAAATCATGACAGCAGCGTGATTATGTCTCTCTCTTCTTTATAAGGGAATGTCGATAGCAAATAAATTCTTATGTAACACATCATACAATTTCAAATCCTAGAATCACTGCACAGGATTCTGTAATAGATTACATGCTAAAGTGACAGTTTTCATCAAAAGGAAAGATAAAATTTCATCTCTGAGGAAGGGTCAGTCCTGTGCCCACACTGGCTGTGGGGAGTGAGTGGGGTCCCCCCGCCTACCTGGTGGGGGCTCTGCCGGTGGGGCGGCTCTCACAGGTCCTGCCAAGGGCACTGGGCAGACTCCACGCCAGGCCAAAGGCCTGGGTCTGCTGCTCCCAGTCCCTGCCCGGGCCTTCCTGAGGGTGCTGGGAAGGATGTGGGGCAACCGTGGTGTATACAGCGGCAAGCGGTAGACGTGGCCACATGCCCCCACCCCGAACCCAAGCCCGCTGAGAGACACTTCTGCTGACCAGGAAGAATGGTGGCAGAGAGGCTGCCTCCAGCCCCGCCATCGTTCTGACTGCAGCCTCTCTGGGTGCCCCGGCCCCTCCTTGCCCACAGCCTGGCATCCCAGGGTCTGGCCACCAGCCCACGAGAACAGTGACAATGGACAATGGCCGACAGGACTGCTTTCCCACTGCGGGTTCTGGGAGGGAACCTTGGCGACAACGGCCCTTCCTTCCCCTCCCCTGGACACCACCGTCAAGGTGTTTGGGACAAAAGCAGGCAGCCCCAGAGGAGGCCATGTCAGTCCCACCCTGTCCACCAAGTGCCCCCCACGTGGTGCCCATAAGGTCCTGGCCCAGGCCAGGAGCCCTTGAAGCCACATTCAAGGACTTGGCCCCCAGCACAGGGCAGGGCATGGACCCAGGCAGGGGAGTCCCTTGCTGATTTGGGGACAAGAAGGGGACTTCTTGCCAAAAAGAGCAGGAAGAGTCACAGTAAAAAAGGATGGTCAGGTAATTTAACGCAACATATGACTTCCGATGTCTACACAGAGGACGACACGGAGTTAAATTAACACTCAGGCTTGGGTACAGTACACACGACCGACGAGAGGTGAGACTCGTCAGGGCTGCGGTCCCTGGGCGCGTGCTCCGCGGGGTGGGCGGGGCTCGCAGGCAGCTCTCAACACTTGGCCAGCGTCGCCTTCATCTCTTCTAACAAGTTGCTAAGCAGCGTGGAGTCGCTGCACTTCCCGTCGACCGAGACAGAGTTCTCACCCTGTGTAACGAAAAAGACTGGTATTTTTAAAAGTATGTGCAAGGGCGGGGTGCGGTGGCTCACGCCTGTAATCCCAGCACTTTGGGAGGCTGAGGCGGGCGGATCACGAGGTCAGGAGATCGAGACCATCCTGCCAGCATAGTGAAACCCCATCTCTACTAAAAATACAGAAATCAGCTGGGTGTGGTGGTGCACGTATATAATCCCAACTACTTGGGAGGCTGAGGCAGGAGAACTGCTTGAACCTGGGAGCTAGAGGTTGCAGTGAGCTGAGATCACGCCACTATACTCCAGCCTGGCAACAGAGCAAGGCTCTGTCTCAAAAAAAAAAACAAAAAAAACAAAAACAACAACAATAACAAAAAAAAAACGTGTGTGCAGGGGTTGGGGGCGGTGGCTCACACTGGTAATCCAGCATTTGTGAGGGCTGTGGTGGGTGGATCACCTGAGGTCAGGAGTTCGAGACCATTCGGACCAACATGGTGAAACCCCGTCTCTACTAAAAATAAGAAAAATTGGCCAGGCATCTGTGGTGGTGGGTGCCTCTAATCCCAGCTACTTGGGAAGCAGGAGAATCGCTAGAATCCGGGAGGCAGAGGTTGCAGTGAGCTGAGATCATGCCACTGTATTCCAGCCTGGGCAGTACATGTAGGTCAGACTGGGTGGCACATGCCTGTGGTCCCAGCTATGTGGGAGGCTGACGGGGGGATCGCTCGAGCCCAGGAGGGTGAAGTTGCAGTGGGCAGTGTTTGCACCACTGCACTCCAGCCTGGGCGACAGAGTGAGACCCTACCTCAAAAAAATTAAAGAAAAAAAAAATACTACACGCAAATATTGCCTCACAGCTGTATGTGTTGCACTTGTAATTTTGCAAATTTGCTAATTGTTAAAAAATAAAATGGGAGGGGCTCAGGTGAGGAAGTGGCCCACGCACCCCGGTCTCCCATGGGAGGCTCCGGCCTGCATGGAAGTGGGAGCCGGCACCTGAGGGCCCTGCCAGAGGCAGATGGGGACGAGACCAGACGCCGAGGAGCTCCTGGGCTGGCAGCAAGCTGAGTTTTTTCTGTCCTCCTGCCCTCCCGTCACTGGGCCCAAAAGCAGGTGCGACTGTGGAAGCAGCCAGGGGAGCTGGGTAACCAGAGCCCCCAGAGGGGGAGGTGCGTAGGGAAAGCCCGTGAAGCTGCTCACGACCTGCTGGGCTGACCCCACGCTATGGGTCCCGCCCCACAGAGCAACTGAAGGCAATAGAGCCCATAGGCCGCTGCCGGTCCCGCCAGGCCAGGGACAACAGGACAGAGGCAGGGCAGGCGGGGATGCACCCGGCGTCACAGCTCCTAGAAGGCAGGGGTGACTTGCAGCTGGGACCTGACCACCCACGTCCTCCGCAGGATGGAACAAGGCCCAGCGGCTCAAAGACCAGGAGAATCCCCTCACAGGGACAGGCCCTCAGCAGACCCCAGCGCCAAGGCACTCATGGTAAGGCCATCAGCAGACTGCAATGCCAAGACCACAACGCCCAGACGCCAACACCAAGGCATGAACGCCAAGGCCATCAGCAGACACCCATACCAAGGCCGTTGGAACACCAACGGCGGACAGACACTAGGACTCTCAGGCACAGGATTTGTTTTTTTTGAGTCTCTGTTGCCCAGGATGGAGTGCAGGGGCACAATCATGGCTCACTGCAGCTTTGCACTCCTAGGCTCAAGAGATCCTCCCACCACAGCCTCCCAAGTAGCAGTGACTACAGGCTCACTCCACCACGCCTGGCTAATTTTTAACATTTTTTGCAGACCTGGGCTCCTGCCATGTGCCCAGGCTGGTCTCCACCTTCAGGGCTCAAGTGATCCTTCTGCCTCAGCCTCCTGAGTAGCTGGGACACAGTCACATACCACCACGCCCAGCTGGCATAAGCGTTAAGAGTAGCTGTTACGAAAATGCTCCAACAGATCACCAGGGCATCAGCAAAGACATGGAAGATACAAGAAGAAAGCCCAGTGGAATTGCAGGCCTGAAAATCAGACCCCCTGCATGGGCTCCACAGCAGAACAGCTAGGACGAGGCAAAGTGGTGATCTTGGCAGGAAAGCAACAGCAATGAACACATCTGAACACGGCCTTGGGGCGCAGGGGCAGCATCCCAGGGTGGGAGGAAGAGTGCGGCGCCGAAGCAGCAGCAAAAGAAATCAGCTCCCAGCCGCCTCATGCCCATCAGAATGGCTGCCGCCAGCACAACACTGACAGATGGAGAAATGGGGTCTCCGACACAGCCGCAGGCGGGCAACAGGGTGCAGCGCCGGGGAAGTCTGGCGACTCTTTGAAACCTCAAACATGGAATGACCACAGGACTGAGCAATACCACTCCCGGGTGTCAATTCCAAACAAATGATCTCACAGCTACAATCCCAGCACTTTGGTGGGATGAGGTGGGTGGTGAAACCCCATCTCTACTAAAACTACAAAATTAAGCTGGGCAAGGTGGCGCATGCCTGTAATACCAGCTACTCAGGAGGTGAGGCAGGAGAATCACTTGAACCCGGGAGCTGGGGGTTGCAGTGAGCCAAGATCGCGTCACTGCACTCCAGACTGGGTGACAGAGTGAGACTCTGTCTCCAAAAAAAAAGAAAAAAGAGAAAGGAAACATAAGGGAATCCTGACAGAGGCTGCGACGTGGACGCACCTCGGGGACATGAGGCAGACTAACAGCAGCGAGACACAGGACACATCCTCTGTGGTTCCACTCCTAGGAGGTCCCTGGAGTCATCAGAGTCAGAGACAGAAAGTAGGATGTGGGTGCCAGGGGCTGGGGAGGGGATGGAGTGAGTGTTTCATGGGAGGCAGTCAACCAGGAGAAAAGTGGAACATTAGGAATGAAAACAGCAGCAAACGATAGGCCGGGCACAGTGGCTCATGTTTGTAATCCCAGCACCTTTGGGAGGCTGAAGCAGGAGGATCAACTGAGGTCAGGGGTTCAAGACCTGCCTGGGAAACATGTTTAGTAGAGACAGGTCTCTACTAAAAGTACAAAAATCAGCCGAGCATGGTGGTGGGTGCCTATAGTCCAGGCTACTCGGGAGGCTAAGGCAGGAGAATCGCTTGCATCTGGGAGGCAGAGGTGGCAGTGAGTTGAGATCGCACCACTGCACTCCAGCCTGGGCAAGAAGAGCAAAACTCCAAATCAAAAAACAAAAAAACCCCAAGTTTGTAGCTAGAAGCCTACAGAAAAGGAACTCTCCAGGCCCGATGGTCTTCCTCGTGAATTCTCTACACTCTTTGATGAGATCACTTGATGATAAAACCAAAGAAGGCACCAGAAAAGAAAAGTACAGACCAAACTCCATAAACACGGACATGAAAGCCCTGAACAACATACTCACACACTGCAAGGGACACCCACCCGCAGTACTCAGGCAAGAGGCGGCACGGCGCGCAGGGGGCAAGGGGTCACTCTAGAAGCGCAGGAGAGGTGGGGCGTCGACCCAGGGCCCTCGCTGCCCTGTGCAGGGGGTGGGGTGGGAGTGCTGAGTGCGTGGGGGCCCCAGAGCTGTGCGTCAGCCTGGGGTGAGCAGCACAGCAGGAGGAGGAAGCCTCGACTTGCTAAACCAGAGCCTGCGCTGCTGAGCGGGCCAGCGCAGGTGAGGGGCTCACCGCTGCAGTGCGGCCATCCCTGTCCTCGATCCCTCAAAGTCCTAAGGCTCAGCCCTGAGGATGAAGGCCCGGGCATTATACCCCAGGAGAGGCGGCAGGAGCCAGGGCGAGCGCAGCGGCCTGGGGCTCACCTTCTTCACCAGGAGGCAGACGTGGTGGCCCTGGATAGAGCGGCTGTACATGGAGGCGCAGGAATCCACTCGCTCCACAACTGCAACAGAGCGGGTGGCTCAGGCTCCCCACACACTGAACAGGTGCAGCCCCGCCCCCAGTGCAGGGGCCGCCTTCCCGGGCTGCCCTGAGCCACAGGTCCAGGGGGCTGCAGGAGCAGAATGCAGCCCCTGGGATGCCTGGGGTGTGAACAGCAGCCCCCGAACCAGCTCCCAGGCCTCGGGGCCACTAGCCACCCGGGATTCCAAAGGATGAGGCCGCAGGCCCAGCTCCAACAGGAAGGGATGGCTGCCGCATACGCAAACCCCATGCAATCCATCAGCCCCTCACTCTCCTTACCGGAAAAATGGTGGTGAAAACAGATCTTCGCCAGAAGGTTCTGGAAGGACATCCGAATGCCGTCGACTTTGACTGAGCTCATGCTCAGGTCCCCAGACTCCAGCAACTTGGCAAAGGCGTCACTGTGGGAGGGACAGGGAGGCTGACTCCGGTGGGGCTGGGACCCTCAGGCTCCCTGGTTTGGAAGCCCACTAAACCAGACACATGCTGCGCCTGGGCTGGGAGGTCTCAGGGGTCCTTGAAGATGCGCCTTGTCTTCACGTGTGGAAGCTCTCACCCCCAGAAACTGACAATGACTCCTCTTTAAAGAGGTCACAGAGGTGCCTGAAGCCATGGGGTGGGCCCCTTCCAATAAGGACGGATGTCCTTTAGCAAGAGACTGGGCACAGGCACGCAGAGGACACCCCACAAGGATGCAGGGGGCAGGCAGTGCCGCACGCTGAGCCCAGCAGAAGCCTCAGGAGGAGCCCAA